CAAATCTCTGATAAAGTTCATTAAAGCTGGTCTTGATAAACCAGACGGTATAGTCCTTGTGGTCAGTTTTCTTGTCAGCTTGCTATTTTGGGTCCTTATTGTGCAGCAAAACAACATGGACAAAAGGCCTAGAGCTGCACGATATGAACATAACACCACATTGTAATTAGACCACTACGTATTAACTTTGCATTTCACTTTTCATTTAGGACGTTGCATTTATTGACTGGCTAGTGACTTATTTGCATGTTGCAGCCTTTTGTGACATCAGCGTAGTGAAGCCTGATATCGCAACAATGCTTAATGAACAACATATTGTGCAGCCCTGAATGGAGCTAAATCCAATATACAAGCATTGTAGTGTAGTAATGCTTTTGTAATCTTTTTTTAATAAAATAGTTTAGCCATAATTAATCATGTTCAACAGTTTAATAGTTTTCTCTTTCTCTACTTCTCTCCAATTGTAACATGACAGCATCAACTCAAACATTTAATATCAGGGACAGACTGAGTACTATTACTTCAGTAGTGCTACTCAGTTAGTGGCTAGTAAAATAGTATGTCACATTTAGTATACACATTTAGGATAAATAATATATCTAGTATACATATATATATATATATATATATATATATATATGTCGCTGTTGTCGGATTGTCGCTGACAGGAGAAGGAAAAAACATTTTATTTTTAATATGTCAATAAGTCGTTTTGGCTCATTTCTTTTGGTCCATTCATCTTGAAATTTACACACAATGTAAAGGACAACAGGCATTTTCAAAGCATGTCTAAAACTGAAAAACGACAACGACAAAAATGGAGATAAGAGGTTTTCTTCTGACAACAGCTATACATATACACACTACTTTTCTCATCTCCTATTAGGTTTCAGGAAGGGACCATTGCACTGAAATGTAGAATGACTAACCACAGATGTTTTTATATGACGTGTAGATGACAGACAGAATTATGCTACAACAAAAAAGACTAGCGGTAGTATAAGTGGAGCGCTGCATCCTCATTTAGTTGCAAACAGATTCAAACAAATCTTGACAGGATGCCATGAACAATGAGCTTTCTAAAACTTACATATAAACAATAATACAGTATTCTACCTTTAAAAAGTAAGCAACTTTGTTCACTGAACTACACATAATACGTTAAAGAGGGATTCCAATGGTGATAGGACCTAGACATCTGTTTACTGCCTCTAAAGAGCCCCCTTACAGAAGGTTACTACATGAACAGGTTACAAACACACTGCCTAATGCCTGAGACCTTGTTTCATAATAGATCTGAGATAAGATTTTGGCCTAAAATACCTAAAATGTATTTTTTTTTTAATCCATTCATGGTTAAGAGGTACATGCAGGGTGTTTTAAGGCAAAATATTCCCCAAAGAAAACAGATTTTTTCAGATCTATTTTACCATTATAACATTAGATATAAAAATTCAGAAGATACATATAGGTTCACTCCTCATTTTGGATAGTTAATCAAAGAGTTATGTTTGTTTTTGTAGTCAATGTGACCCCTGGTTCCAGTCACCACCATTGTACAAAAATCCAAGTCAGTAAATGTCTCTGCAGAGAACCATTTTACATCACACCACTCTGTCATATCAAACCACATCAAACCACTTATCTCAATGATAAGAAATGTTAAAAAATCAGTGCAATTCCCTTTTAATACAACGTAAAAACACAGGTGTGGTATGTTATGGCTGGTGTACGGATAAAGCTGCACAGGCAGCCTCCTGCTCCTCTCAGTCAGAGCAGACCATGGCAGATTTGTCACTGCTGACAGCAGCTGAAACACTGGCTTAGCTGCAACATTACACACAGCCTCCAATGCAGCTCTCTCTGCCTATCTCACAGCAGCAGGCAGGGTGGCGCTTTACTGCTGTTGCTATGGTAATGTGGAAATGCTCAGGCAAAAGCTGCTATTAAGGATGTTTTTGAAATGATAAACAGAGTGCATTAGCAGTGAAGCATGTTAGCACAGACACACACACACTGACAGAAATCAGTACAACCGTCTAATTCAACAATGTGCTTGTGTCTCTGGGAACATGACATCACGCGTGGCCTGAGTTTTCAAATGAAATCTCTCATTGTGTGTGCATGTATGTGTGAAATATATAGAGGAGGAGAGAAGAACATCATGGATGCATTGAGTTTTAAATTGAAATCCCTTGGTGAGCCAAAAGATGACGGAGAAAACCATTTGAGGTGTTTTATATTCATCGACTCCTGAGCTTCCAAGTGGAAACAGAATGCGCATTTGTGTGTGTCTGTGTGTATTTACACATTTGTGAGGAACACAATCTCTGCACAGTAGCCTAGGTATTCACACAATATGAGACAGAAACAGTTTCTCTGGTCCTTTTGCAGGTCATCACAGATGTGCATCATTTGATTTAAAGAAACTATGCTGTTTAAAACAAATTGGAAAAAAGGTCTTGGCTTAGGTTAAAGGTTAGGTTTGACTCACAGAAGTTGCTTTGTTGACAGTATACTATCTAAATGCATCTATGTCATTACAAATGTAATTATATAGTAAGTAACAGCTAAATAATTTATATTAAAGTCACATTCTGTACTGGTAGATTCAATTCTGGACTTCTGTTTGTTTCAATGTCTAGAAATGACAAAAACATCAAACAAATATAAAGGAAATATGATAAACTCAAATGAGATATGGATTGAAAGTCTGGTAGGCCAGATGTTTTCTGTTTACCTTAAGTTATGAGCGAAAAATAATTAACATCAACTTATTCCATGTTTCACTATCATCAGTGATAATGGTGACTTCTAAAGGTTATGGTTAGGTTCAGAGCCAGGTTTATGATTAAGTTTAAGGATAAAGCAGGATTGCAGAGAATGTTTGGTGATCTAACTGGCAGCAGTTTAGGATGGGCTTGACAAATTTAAAGCTTGCTAGTAAAACGTAACACACATAACTTTATTCATAAACTCATATCTATTGCTTTGCACACAATAGCAATAATGACCAACATAACTTTAGAATTATTGATTTCTAGCATTTATGTCTTCAGTGTTTAGAGTTGGATATCTGTCGTCACTCTGTTTGTCTAATGCTACATGTTGTGCTCCACAGCTTTAGTGCTTTAAACTAGTAGTGTTCATATGCTTCCAATCCCATGTAATGGTCCTCCCCACCTCTATCTCCAAAATGCTGACAGCATCGCTGCTAATGCAGTGCTCAGTAAACTCACACATCTTGTACTATCGTGATGAGACATGTTGATAGCTTTAGTTCAGCAAACTGTAGCTGGGTTTTGTTTGAGATTGTGCAATTATTTAAATAAATAAATTATTTATATTTATGTAGTCAATGCCAAAATTATAATGTCATATATTTAGCAAAGGCATTTTCATTTGTGTTTTTGTTTTTATTCAAAAGATTTTAATATCAACATTTACTTTGAGCTGTCATTTTGGGTTTGCCAATGATATAAGTGGGTGGGCCTGAGCCCACTGGGTCCAAACATAGTGCTGCCACTGCATCTAATTCAGGGAGCAATCCTGGATCCTGAATGTGGAGGTAGAGCGGGGACTCTAAATGCCTTGTTTGCGGCTGTAAGGTGATCTATAGCCATGTTCTGCTATCAGAGCAATAGAGACACCAGGTTGCTGCTGTTGAGTAAGTAAATGAGGCCCTGTGGGACCTGCTTTTACCAAGCTCAGCTTTCTCTGTCTCTCTCTCTCTCTCTCTTATTCTCTTCTCTCTCCCACCACCTATACATCAGCAGGGTACTGAGCTATAGCACATTTATCTTTTACCTACAGCAGGAGTACAGTGGTACAGTGGCTGAAGAAGCAAGACACAAGCATGCGTGTGTGTTTGTGTGTATGCGTGTGAGTGTACTGACAGTGCTATTTATCACTCCATTTGAGCCATATTCTTATAGCTGGTGCAGTTTCTGCTAGATTTTACAGTGCAGTCTGGGTAAAATAAACATTCCATTTACATTCATTACAGAATATATATATATAAAGTTCATTTCTTACTCCTCTATAGTTGTTGTATCACATTCTGTTAACTTCTGTTAATGTGTGGCGTTTTAAAAGCAGCCTAATTAATTACCTATTAAAGTTAAAATTCCAAGTCATTTCTACGAACCACTGCAGTGATCTGTATTGTGAGATGTGGTCTGCGAGTCTGTTTTTGTGCTTAATATGGGAGTATATTGATTCAGCTGCTTGGATTACAAAGGGCAGACTGAAGCACACAGGACATGTGACCTGCATCCATAGTGACTGGTGTATGTTTGGAAGAAGGAGTGAGTGTGCATATGATTGAGAAAATGCATCACTATGTGTGTGTGTGTGTGTGAGCATGTGCTTGTTTCCCTTCATTTTATGTTATATTTTATGTTCCTGAGATTAAGGTTAGGGTAAGATTTTAGGTTAGGCTAAAAAAATTATTGTTACATATATATATATATATATATATATATATATATATATATATATATATATATATATATATATATTTACATATACAAAACTGAACACAGAGTGAAATGAGAAAATGATATTTAAAAAAGTATTTGTGCAGCAAATGTTTAGTTGTCCAGAAAACACTTTAGAAAAATAAGAATCAATACATATTGATTTTATGTTTGTCAGTGGTTTTGTTTACCCCAGTATTATTTTTAGTTGTCATCCAATGCTGGGTTTAGCTCAATCACTGCTTTGGGCATTGAGGAGAATCTGGAGCCAAACCTGTGTTCTTCTAACTAGCTGACAAGATATTGATTATTTTTTTAAAAGCAAGAAATTCTTGTTACCTTTAACTGCATAAATGTTTGTTTGTATTTATTATAATGTCACATGGTGCTTTACAGGCAAAAATCGGTTATTGTCCAGATGAATGGTTTTAAATACTTTGCTTAGGTGCCCAAAACTTTTGAACAGTATTGTATATGACTCTACATCCTGACACAGTATAAAAGGTGTGTGTTTGTACATACCTGACATAGAGGGAGCGTTTCTGATTGGTTCGGAGGGATCCTGATCCAGAGCTCATGCTGTGGTTCATCATCTGTTCTCTCAGGTCATGAATTTTGGCCTCAAAGCGCCCGTACTCTGTAAACATGAAGAAACAAACATTAAAATTAACTAATAAGTACGTGTAGAGGCAAACTTGTAGACTTAACTAATACCCTATCACTGCAGGCAGTGTGTGCTGCTAAACACACCCATATTGAAAGTATACAGTTACTTTGGAGCTAGAGAACAGACTATAAGGTCTTTCTGTGTGGCCTTTAAGGTGCAGTGTTGCAAAGATCTGGCGCCTGTGAGGATCAATACAGGACATCAATACACACGGCCCTACTGAATCTGAGCTCTGAGAGCAGCACTGTACTACTCCCTCACCCCCAAGGTCAAACTACCGTACCAATACGGTCAGACAGAGCGAGAGAGACAGAACGAAAGACACAGAGAATAAGAGAATTGTTTTACACTAGCTTTAGACCAGTTGTAATCAAAAGTTTAAGTACCCCTGGTCAAATCACATTCATTCATTCATTCATCCTCTAAGCAGCTTATCCTTCTGGGTCTCAGGGGGCGCTGGAGCCTATCCTATCAGTCATGTGGCAGAGGTGGACCCTGGACAGGCCGCCAGTCCCACTGCAGGTCAGACACACAGACATACACATTCACATACACTCACACCTAGGGGCAATTTCGTATCTCCAATCTGCCTGACTGTATGTCTTTGGACTGTGGGAGGAAACCGGACCACCTGGAGGAAACCCACGCAGACATGAGGAGAACATGCAAACTCCACACAGAAAGGACCCTGGTTGCCCAGCCGGGGAATCGAATTCAGACCTTTCTTGCTGTGAAGCGACAGAACTACTGTCAAGTTACATATTTTGTTGGTTTTCTTAAGTGAAAAAAAAAATTGTGGCACATTTTATATTTTACATTTTATTTGTGTTGAATATGTTAAACTCAGCAAATAAATAGAAACTGTGCACTAAAAGTTGCAGAAAAGATGTCATATTTAAGTTGAGGATCTGCTTATTTTCACACTGAAAACTAACGTAATGTAATTTGACCAGGGGTATTCAAACTTTCGCATACAACTGAACATGTGCCTTTAAGACATAAATACAGATAAATCTGTATGGTTGTCCTGTATTGTGCCTCATTCAGAAAGAAGGCCAGGCTGAAATACTTCTTATAATTTCAATGTGAATAAGTGGAACTTAACTCTTGCAGACTGCAGAGGTGGATATATACAAATATAGAGTGTGATTTCACCAGGGATGTTGAAACTTTTGCACACGACTGTATGTAATTGAATGTACGGTTACTGGTTGTTAATAACTGTTGTAACTTTACTCAGTAATAACACAATAAAAGATAGAGTAGCTTGGGGTCTAACACTTTCCACTCCACTGTAACCACTGTAGTGGTTATTTGTTCTATACTTTTCAAACTTTTATATATGATACCCATATTTGTCTGTTACAAACAGCAATAGTGTAGAATTCTACTGCTCACTCACACAACATTTGAGTTCGTTTATTATAATCCACTGTAACAACCTTCACCACTGCAGGGGTAGGTTGTATTTGTAGTTGGAGGGTAAAATAATTTCCTGAGTTACATTTGTAAAGGAAATTTGTTTCCCTTTTTTTTTTCTGAAATATTGATACTGAACCTATTAGTCTATATTAAAACATTTTAAACATATACCACTGTGTATGTGCATATATTAGTTTAAGTGAGACAGGAGCTTCAGATGATATTGGATAAAGTCAAGTTTTCGTTGACTTAAGTAGGTTCATGTAAGAAATATGAGTGGGTCTAACATTCTTTGATTAGTCTCCCCACATGCTCTGTGTTACAACCCACCCCATCCTGGACTGCGTTAGAATAACCATTGCAGTAACTGTGGAAAGAGAGTGTTCAAAATAATAGTTTCTCTATCATTTAACCCTGATAGTTGTTTAACAATGCTGTTAGGAAACAGACCCCTGGTACGCACTTGTCGATCCTGGCTGGCATACATAGCTAAAAGACTCTAAGTGAAAATAAGTTCACATCATCTACAGAAAACATTTTAATGCACAATTTCTATTTTTTGCTGAATTTAACAGACTGAAAAAAATGCACATATTTTATTTATGCATTTTTTAATATTTATATTTTATTTCTTTCCAACATGCAAACCAAGTAAATAAACAGAATTGTGCTCTGAAATTTGCAGAAAAATGTCATATTTATTCCCGTTCATATTTATATTTGTTTCCTGTAGAGGATGTGGAACTAAATTTCACACAGAAAATCAATAAAACGTAATTTGACTGGGGTGTTCAAACTTTTGCATATAACTAGAAACAAGTATATTTTACCTGACAAAACAGAGAGACTGATGATTTAGAGTATAACAGACAGAATATTCATCCTTCATTAATATAAAAGTTAACCAAGCAATAATCTAGATGTGAAAATTTGATCCTTCTCTCTTCATCCTTCTGCAAAGATCTAAAATTTCCTTTTTTTCTTCCTACAAATCATATGAAGCTGTTGAGTACTACAAATTTATATATGTCTGCTACAAAATTGTTTTTATCTCATGGAAAATAGTGATTCCAAACCACTGAACTGTAGGGTATGTAAGTTCCGAGAGTGCTGATCTTCAACTAAGACATATGGTGTGTTATAATTAACACTAGCTGACAGTTCTAGAACTCAAGAGCCGCAGTTTGAGAGCTTCACTGAAAAAGGGATGTGTGGTGCAGTAGAGTCATACAGAGACTCCGTGCCTCAGTGCTTCATACCGCTGACCTTCAGAACACGACGGCAGTTAACTGCAAGGACAAGCCTGCAGCAGATACCCATACTGAAGGTCATATCCATCTAGATCACCAGCCAAATACAGCCCCAGGTGAGCAGAGAGCTGACCATTGCTCAAGACAATCCATAACCACCAGAACACAAAGGCCAGTGACATCGTTGCTGTCGTAAGAAAATCTTGCATCTTCAAAATGATAGATTTAAGAGAGAAGGAAAAATATGTTTATGTACCTAAATAATTAAAAAGGTCTGGATTTCAGAAAGTTTACATGTCCGTTCATTATAAAAAATTAAATGGGGTAAAAAAAAACATAAAAAAATAGTTGACGCCATTGATACACATGTACGGCACATATATAACATGCATCAACCTCAGTAAACACATTCACTCATTCCCTCCCCAGTCCACACAGTACATATATGGAAACTAAGCTGCAAAAACAGGTCAGTTTGAAATAGTTGCTTTTGTGATGTCACAAAAGACATTTAAATTGATCCAACCTACAATCTATAGCCCTGCTCATTCATGTTGAAGTTATAAGGAGTGTTTCAGCCTGGTCTGCCTTTTGAATGAGGTACAATATAGGGCAGCCCATCAACACAGGGATCATTTACATCATTTACAAACAGTCTTAAAAGCATATATACAGTCATGTGCAAAAGCTTGAACACCCCTGGTCAAAACACGTTTTTGTTGATTCTCTAAGTGAAAATAGGTTAACATACTTTCACTGCAAATTTTAGTGCATCAATTATTTTTTTGACATTGAAAAAAAAATAAAACGAATGATAAAATGTGGAATATCATTTGCACATGCCACATTTTAGATATGTTAAATATGTTAAATTCAGCAAATAAACAGTAATTGTGCATTAAAATGTGCAGAAGTGTGTTCTCTTTAGAGGATGTGTTAATTTATTTTCATGTAGAAAATCAACAAAACATCTACTGGATGTTACTGGAAGCGCCCCAACTACATAAAACCGCACATATATTCAAACACATCAGCCTCACCAAAAGACGAAAAGAGGCTGGAAAGTGGTCGTGTAAAAATGAATTATGACTGGTACATAAAACCAAATGTCATAAGCAGACAAGACAAGAAAAGCATGTTTGAAAGGTGTTTGGGATGAAAGTCACTTTTGAGTAGGTGATGGTGCACCCAGCCGATCAGTTTCCTGAGCTCTAGAGAAAACTGACTCAGAATGACATGGCAGGTGCTTCATTGCTCTCTAGCGCTGGATCCGCTCAGCCTGCTGACACACAGAAGCTCATCATCTTTCATCTAAACACACATGTGCTGCTATATCTGCAAGCAAAAACATTCTTCTACATGCACAAGCATGGTGCTTCGCACTTCCTCCCTGTCTTTCTCTCTCACAGAGACAACATGCATGCAGCGGCACTCTGTTCACCCTCAGACCAGCAGCGCGGCCAGCAGTTTGTTCCACAGCCACACTTCAGCAGTGAAGGTAAAGGACTTTAGGAACAGACTGAGAGACTTACAATAGACACCTTTAACAATTATTTATGTATGTACTAATTTATTTTTACAAAAACTCTAGCTGCCCCTTCGTTATGTGAACATTTTATTCTGAAAGGACAGCAAGAAACTGTCAAAACTTACCTGTAATAAAAACTCTTAACATTCACCTACAGTAAAGTAAAACTGGTTTTGCTCCTATAAAGTTGGAGATACAAGGTTACAGTCTTAACAATCTTAAAAAAACAAAGGTGCCAAAAAGGGTTTAACTTCATAGTTTGAGTGTGAAGAACTTCTTTAAGGTATAAAGGACCCTCACATAATGTAAACGTTCTGGAAAGAACCCTTAATTTGGTACACACTCTTTAAAAAAAGGCTGCAAAGCGTTCTTTCAATGATGCCATAGAAGAACCACTTTTGATGCCCTTAAGTACCATGTTTGAAAAAGAGATCTGTGAGTGTGAAGAACTTTCACATAATGTAAAGTTTCAATACCATTTTAAGTTCTTTAAACTTTAAAAAGGTTCTTCAGACTCACACAACTCTCCAAACAACAGTCTCCAAAGAACCATGCACTGAAAGGTTTTTAAAAAAACAAAAGTAGCTATTCTACAGCACTGCTCAAAGAACCATCTGCGGCACCTTTATTTTGAAGTGTGTAAAACATTCACACAATATGATGGTTCTTTAAACCCTTAAAAGGCTCTTCAAACCTACACCTTTCACTTTCAAATATGGTTCTTAAGGGAACCAAAGAAGGCTTTTCCATGGCCTTGCTCAAAGAACCTT